GTGGCGACAAAGTGCCACGCCTGCCACGCTTTCCGACCCTGGCACGCATAGCTAGCGGCCGCCCTCAGGGACCACCCCCTGCGCACCCCCTATGGTGACGATAAAGTGCCACGCCTGCCACGCTTTCCGACCCTGGCACGCATAGCGGCCGCGCTCAGGGACCACCCCCTGCGCACCCCCTATTCTGTCGACAAAACCCCACGCCTGCTGTGCCCTGGACGACCGTCGTGCTGTGCAGTGCTGTGCTGTGCTGAGCTGTGCTGAGCTGAGGTGCTATGCTGAGCTGAGCTGAGCTGTGCTGAACAGTGCTGAGCTGAGCTGAGCTGTGCTGAGCTGTGCTGTGCTGTGCAGCGCTGTGTGAGGTGAGGAGGAGGAGGAGGAGGAGGAGGAGAAGAAGGAGAGGGAGGTGAGGTGAGTGAGGGTCGCGGGTGCGACGCGGCAGGGACGAAAACCAGAACCCCACGAAACATGCAGGGAAAAAAACGCCATAAACATAAACTTTTGGCGCTCCGCGCGTCTTTCTTGGATCCACGCCCGGGTCAGTCGGGCTTTGGAGGCTCTTGCAGGATCCTGCAACGCCCGATTGACCCGGGTTTGTACTGATCCCGGTCAGTGCGTCCCCGAGTTTTGGTTATGTGTGTGCGTCAGTGTTTATGTTTGTGCTTGTACTTGTGCTTATGGTTGTGTTTGTGGTTGTGGTTGCGGTTGTGGTTGTGGTTGTGTGTGTGTTTGTGTGTGCTTGTGTTTGTGTTTGTGCTTGTGCTTGTGTGTGTTTGTGTGTGTATTTGTGTTTGTACTTGTGCTTGTGCTTGTTTGTTTGTGGTTGAGGTTGTGGTTGTGGTTGTGTTTGTGCTTGTGTTTGTGTGGGTGCTCGTGTTTGTGCTGGAGCATGTGCTTGTGAATGTGCTTGTGGCTGTGGTTGTGGATATGTTTGTGCTTGTGTCTGTGTTTGTGTTGTTGATGGTGGTTGTGTCTGTGTCTGTGTGTTTGCTTGTGTGTTTGTGTGAGTTTGTGTTTGTGTTTGTGTTTGTGTTTGTGTGTGGTAGGGTGTGTGGTGGTGTTGGTGTTTGTGTTGGCATTGGTGTTGGTGGATGTGTTTGTGTGTGTTTGACCATGTGTTCGTGTTTGTGTTTGCGTTTGTGTATGTGTGTTTGACGTTGCTGTTGTGTTTGTGTGTGTTTCTGGTTGTGTTTGTGTTTGTGCTGGTGCTTGTGCTTGTATTTGTGTGTGTCGTTGTGTGTGTTTGTGGTTGTGCTTGTGCTTGCGTTTGCGTTTGTGTTTGTGTTTGTGTGTGTTTGTGTTAGTGCCTGTGGGTGTCTTTGTGTTGTTCCCCAACCAGTGCTTGCACTGAAGGGGTCCTAGCGGAAGTAGAAAGATTAGGCGAAAGTTTCCAGCCGATTTTGGTAGCAGGCTGGGTTCCCGGGTTCCCGGTTCCCCGTTCCTGGGTTCCCGGTTATTGGTTCCGGGCCGATTTGGGTGGGTTTTGGGTCCCCGGGCTCCCGGGTTCCCGGTCGATCCATTGATTGGGTTTTTTTTTGGTGTAGTTTCGTTTATGTATGTTTGTTTTTTGGTTGTGGTTGTGATTGTGTTCGTGTGTTTTTGTTGTTGTGTGTGTATGTTTGTTGTTGTGCTTCTAGTTGCGGTTGTTTGTGTGTTTGTGTTTGTGTTCGTCCGGCCACGGCAGGCGCAGCAAAAGAAAGAAGCTAGCCTGCAAGCAGGTGCCTTTGCGGCAGTTTCTTTCCTTCGGTGGGCAGTGCTCTGGGCATTTCGGTCCGTAGGTGTACCCATTGTTCATTTCTAAGTATTCGAAAGTTCTTTGATGTGGTGGGGGTCCAAGATCCTTTCATCTCTAGTTGTTCTATCCTGGGCCTCTTCCTGGCCACTAGGGGGCCAGGAACAATTAGAAATGAAAACAATTAGAAGTGAGCACGATTGGAAATTAACGACTGTATCCGTAAGTTCCTTGCAGCAAGATCTCCGTTTCGTACGTATGCGCTGCAGGTCGCCGCCACATGCTATCCTCGAAAGTTGCTTGGTGCGGCCCTGGTGCCCTGGTGCGGCCCAGTTCAGGCTCCGATGGCCTCTGGAGGGGCAGGTGCAGCTGGGGGTAGAGGTTGATACTGTTAGTTCCCAACCCTCCATTGATTGGGTTCTCGTTTTGAATAGAGCAGTGTGGGCCCCACCTCCGTCCTTCCTCCCGCCCTCCTCCCTCGTCCTCGCCTCGTCCCCTCCCTCAGCTCCCCCCCTTTCCTGTTGAGTCGTCCTCTCCGAGTCCTGGCGGGCCCTGCGGGGCTGCGAACCGCGCAACTGTCCCAGCTTTCGTGGGCTCCTGGGAGGTCCAGCGGAGTGAAGATCCACGCAGATCTGCCGAGACTTCGCAGCTCCCTGCGGGGTTGCGAACCGGGCATCTGTCGCCATGTTCGTGAGTTCTTGGGAGGTCCAGCGGAGGTCCACGCACAGATTTGCCGAGACCTCGCGGCTCCCTGCTGCGGAGCTGCGAACCGCGCAATGGTCGCATTGTCGCCATTTTCGTGTGCTCCTGGGAGGTCCAGCGGAGTGGAGGTCCACGCAGATCTGCCGAGACCTCGCGGCTCCCTGCGGAGTTGCGAACCGCGCAACCGTTGCCTTTTTCCTGGGCTCCTGGGAGGTCCAGCGGAGTGGAGGTCCACGCAGATCTGCCGAGACCTCGCGGCTCCAAGCGGGGTCGCGAACTGCGCAATCGTCGCCATGTTCGTGGGCTCCTGGGAGGTCCATCGGAGTGGAGGTCCACGCAGATCTGCCGAGACCTCGCTCCGCGTGCGAGATCCAGCGGAGTGGAGGTCCACGCGGACCCAGCCGAGACTTCGTGGGCCGTGGGGGGGTGCGACGTGCGCGTCTTTCATCATGTTCGTTTGTAGTGAGCGGTCCTTAATATAGCTGCCCCGTGTTAGAAAAAGGATTGGGTACGTCACTAGGTAATTGTTCTGGCGAGTGGAGATGAATGAGAAGGTTGTCACAGAGGTCAACCCGCACGCCCACCCAGCGGCAATTCGCAATGATCTGCTGCACTCCGCAGCTTAGAGTACAAGGCTTACACGTTCGGTGGCTAGCTACAGCCTAAACAAATGTCAGTGTGCATGTGAATATACAATTCGGTGTTCGTGGTGCCCTTCGCTGCGTCGCAGAACGCAGGCTTCGCACAACTGGTTGCTGCAACGAGTAATTGCTAGCAGTTCACGGCAGACTGTCTCTTCCACAATTTGTTTCATTGAGTTCGTCACTCACACGAGGTGATTTTGTGAAACTCCAGGCGCAACTGTGAGTTCAAACGCTTTGCATCATAGGCTGCAGTCCTAACTCGCGTGGCTCCTGCTGCATGTCGGTATGCGCGGATATGTCAAACCGAGGCTGCAGCACGCGCATGCGCCTGGAATGAGGGGCAACTCAGACAGCAGGTGTGTGTGTGTGTGTGTGTGGTTGAGAAGTGCCTCAGCGAGTCTGAGGAGTCTGAGGAGCAGGAAAGGGAGAGAGGAGAAGGAGAAGGAGAAGAAGGAGGAGTAGGAGGAGGAGGAGGAGCAGGGCGGCGTCGCTGTGTATATATCTGGGCGTATACATACATAGATACATCAATCGTGTAGTGGCCGTTGGCCTATCCCACCTCCTTGCCAGGGTTGTGGGACAGGGGTGTCTTGGATGTCAATCGGGGTGTCTTGGGATGCCCCTCGGAAGCCTCCTGGGACGCTTCCATTTTGGATTCAAGGTATACGACTCAAGTGGTGCCCATGGGGTGTCTCTTCCTCTTGGATGACTCTTTGGGGCCACTCGGGGCTTCTTGGGGGCTGGGCAGGGTTGTTGTTGAGTGTGGGGCGCGGGGCCTGGGCCGCGTGGCTTTCGACGTCGCGTTGGGGCGCGTGGGCGAGGCTACGCGCGCGCGCGGCTCCCTGGGCCTAGGTCAAGGGTGAGAGTGTGGACGTACTGTCGGGGCGCTGAAGAAGGAACCCTTCTCGTTGTGGAGGAGCTCCGTGTTCCTTAATTGTTTCGCAGCTTGCCTCAGGTTTTCCCAGGTTTTCGATATGAAATCGAAAGTTCAACTTATAGAAAACAGGGGCCTCGTTCCTTGTTTAGGGTTCCTTAGGTCAACGCCCCGACTGTACGCGCACGCGGCTTCCTGGGGCTAGGCCAAGGGTGAGAGCGTGGACGTACTGCTGAGTGCCACGGCATAGGACTGAGGCCCACTGCCAGGGCCGACGGTGCACGCAGGCCGCAGGGCTTCGTGCGCCCGCGGTGCGGGCGGGCACCCTCCACGCCCTCCGGCTCCGAGGCCAACGCGCGGCCCCCAGCAAGCGCGCGCTCGCTGAGGGTGGCGGCGCTGAGGCAAACACCATCGCATACTGTTGGCGAAGAGTTGTTGGTCGTGGTGGGGTGTGGCGGGGGGACTAGCGGCCAGGGGAGAGCAAGGCCGATGTCATCCACGTCAGGCTGCTCACGAAGTACTACGGTCGAAATACGACCATGGGAGCCGGACCTGGGGGTGCGCTTGCGCTGTCATTCTGCTTTTCCTTGCCACACCGGTGTGCCGACTCGGTTCAGGTGGGTTTCGAGGCGCACCGTTGCCAGTCGCGTTCTCGCCCTTCGGCCTCGAGGGAGGGTTCGGAAGGGAGTCCCACGAAATCGCAAGCGCTCAGGTTTGCCTCTGCGCGGATCGCGGCGGGATCTGCTGCCGACGAGGAAAGGTGCCGTCCCTCGGCGTCTCGGAGCGGAGACTGTCATCACCAGTGGCGCTTTCCCTCGCCCGGCGGACGGACGCTGCACCCAGACCCTACTCGGCCTGGATTACGCTCCTTGTCGCCTCCTTGTCCTGCTCCTCGCCCTCCCCCTTCCAAATGAATAGAGTAAGTGGAGTGGAGGGCCTCCCCCGCGCCACCCCCCGCCCCCTCCCTCGCCCTCGCCCTCCTGCGCAGCCATTTTGGCTCGGGCGATAAGTTTTTTGTGTACCCTTGGCGTCGCTCCGCAGAGCGCAGATGTGGTGCTGCACCGTCGACGGCGGCGTCGAGTTGGAGGATGGAGGCCGAAGCCACCGCAGGCGCAACGATCCGGACGACGCGGCCGTGCGAGGACGAGCCGACCTCACCCTGGCGAAGCCGGAGCGCTGGGGGAACCCGACGGACGACAAGCTCAAGGAGCGCGCACTGATCGGAAAAGGGGCAGGTACCGGTACTTCTACGTTTGCCGTCGTCGCCGCGACTGAAATCGCCTCGATCTCCTGGTCAGAATGTACCCCTGGAGAGAGCCGTGGAGTATCGGCGTGGCATAATATTTAGGTCTCTCCAAGTGAGAGGATACCCGTTCAGACAAGGCGGTTGAAGAATACTTCGCCGGTTCACTCGCCACTGGTGTTCGCAGAATGCCGGCGCAGTCCCTTTTAATCAGTTTCTCCTATCGACGTGTGTTTTTGCAAGACACTATTGTGTAGCCATAAGACGTCGATCCGTGATTTCACGCGGGTACATGGGGAACGTTGGGAACGTGGCGACGCACGCACCCATGGAGTGCCGCAGCAGCTGTCACAAAAGGTAATTGTTACTAGCGGACGTTGAAAGATTTGGCGAGAGTGATTTCGGTAGGCGGCCAGGTTCCCGGGTTCCCGGTTCTGGGTTCCAGGTTCCCGTTTTCGGGTTCTGGATTGGTCTCGGTGGGCGGTTGGTCTCGGTGGGCGGCTGGGTTGCCGGGTTTCCGCTTCTGTTGCCAGGGTTCGCCACACACACATATATATGTGTGTGTCTATGTATACATATATATATATATATACGCACACCCACATACCATAGAGAGGGAGAGGGATGGATACGGAGTGGATATGTGTATGGATACATGTGTATATAATTATGTGCGCACAGCACGTACACATATAGATATATTTATGTATGTATATATGTATGCATGTATATACACATATACGTATATAAAGGTAGTACCTGTATATACGTATATATACAGTACATGGGCCCATCCACTGATTGGGTTTTTCCTTTGGTGTGATACGCTTTTCTCCGCAGAACCCGCCGCACAATAACGACGGCGACGACGACTACGACTACGATTACGACTACGATTACGGCTACGATTGCTACGATCACGACTACAAGCACAACTACAACCACCATTATTATCACGACTCCAACCACGATTACAATCACGATTACAACCACAACCACTGATTCCGATTGCAATCCTCGTGCGAAGATGCTCAGAAATCCTCTCGCGTGTGGGGTCGCCCACGATGGGTTGTTGTTTGGGATAAAAATTCCAGGCCACCAAACAATAGGGAACAAAACCCGCCGCGACGACGACGACTACGATTGCGTCTACGATTGCGACTATCATTTTACAACTACGATTACGACCACAATCACGATTCCATCACGATCACAAGTATGATTACAATCACGGTTGCAACCGCGCCTACAGTCACGAGTACAACCACAACCACTGATTCCTATTGCAAGCCTCATGAGAGATTGCCCAGGTATCCTCTCGCGTGTAGGGTAGCCCACGATGGACTACTGTTTGGGACAAAGTCCCCCCCAGCATTATCCAGCCCGACTAACAACAGAGGGAAAATGATCTCCGCCGCGACGACGGCGACGACGACGACGACGACAACGGCGACGACGACGACGACTACGACGACGACTACGAGAACGAGGAGCAGGAGGAGGACGAGGAGGAGGAGGAGGAGCAGCAGGAGGAGGAGGAGGAAGAGGAGGAGGAGGAGAAGGAGGAGGAGGAGGAGGGGTAGTTGGAGGAGGAGGAGGAGGAGAAGGAGGAGCAGGAGCAGGAGCAGGAGCAGAAGCAGGAGCAGTGGCGAGCTTGTTTCCAGCCGAGAGAAAGGGGGGGTCAAAATTAGAGAAGTCCTGAGGTTGAAGGGGTGTCTGTCAACCCTCGAAAGGAGGAGGATCCTGGTGGAAGATGGTGGTCGTGGACGAAGCTGGGCTTCAGGAACATCGCCGACGGGCTGTGGCAGCTATACGAGGAGAAGTTGTTGCCGTTGGAGCGGGATAGCAGTTTCCACTACTTTCACCAGCCCGAGATCCCGCCCGCCTACTTCACGAGTCGGCCGCTGATCCTGCTGATCGGCGCCTACTCCACCGGGAAGACGACCTTCGTCCACCACCTGATCGGCCACGAGTACCCGAACGCGCAGATCGGGCCCGAGCCGACCACGGACAGGTTCGTGGCGGTCTGCCACGGGCGGGAGGCACAGATCATCCCCGGCAACGCCCTGGTCTACGACCCGAGCCTCCCGTTCACGCCGCTGCAGGCCTTTGGGAACGGCTTCCTGTCCAGGCTGGAGTGCGCACGCGTGCCCAACCCGGTGCTCGAGGGCGTCACCTTCATCGACACCCCGGGGGTGCTGTCGGGAGAAAGGCAGCGGCTGAAGCGCGGCTACGACTTCGAGGAGGTGATGCAGTGGTTCGCCGACTACTCGGCGATGATCATACTCTTCTTCGACGCCCACAAGCCGGACGTGTCTGACGAGCTCATGCGGTGTACGGAGGTCCTCAGCCCGTACGTGAACAAGGTCCACGTCGTCTTGAATAAGGCCGACCAGGTCACCACCCAGCAATTGCTCAGGATCAATGGGGCACTCATGTGGTCCCTCGGCAAGGTGATGGACACCCCAGAGGTCACCCGCGTGTATGCAGGTTCTTTCTGGGACGAGCCGCTGCAGAACGAGGAGCTGAAGACCCTTTTCGAGCTTGAGATGGACGACCTCTACAGACAGATTGAGCAGCTGCCTCGAAGCTCTTCGGTGCAGAAGATCAACGATTTGAGCAAGCGCGCCCGGCTGGTGAAGTCGCACGCGCTGCTGCTCGAGCAAATCCGCACCGAGATGCCCACTGTGTGGGGCCACGCCGAGAGGCAGCAGGAGCTCATCGACAGTTTGCCGCGGCTGGTGCAGACCTTAGTGGGCCCCGGAAACGGCAGGGCCGTTTTTTCACCGTTTCCAAAAAAAATGGCTCTTGAAAATGGAAGCGGCAAAAAAACGGTTACCGGAAACAGCAAAAAAACGGCTCCAGGATTGGAGCCGGAGCCGGAACCGGTCAAACAACGGCGACGGAACCGGTCACAAAAACTGCGTCGGAACGGGCAACAACAACGGCAAAACGGAACCGGTAAAAAAACGGCCCTGTCGTTTCCAGGGCCCACTAAGGTCGGGCCGGGCGAAAGGGGGGGATTGGGAAAGGGGGGGTTACGAAATTTGCTGCATGCAGCTGGTTTCGGCTTTACCGAGGGGCCCATTCCTCGATACATGGCCGCCTCCTGGCGCCGGGAGGCGCCGGGAAAATCAGCTACGGGAGCTGATTCTCACCCCCCCCCTCTGCTATCCCCCCCTTTTGCCCGACCCGATAAGGTGCAGACCATCGTCTGGCAGCACAAGGTCTCCCCCGGGGACTTCCCGAAGCTCGAGGCGAGCGACGCAGAACGACGGGGGGTCGCCTCCGCCGGCTGGCGCGCGCGCAGGCTGCCCGCGCAGGATCGCGTGTGGGCGCCCTCGCTCCCGAGGTGGCGTGCCGCGCCGGCGGCCGGCGTAGGCCACCCGGAAGCGATTTTTCGGAGCGATTTCGACGCGAAATTTTTCGGAGCGATTTTTCGGAGCGATTTTTCGGAGCGATTTTTCGGAGCGATTTCGGAGCGATTTTTTCGGAGCGATTTCGGAGCCACCGGAAGCGATTTTTTCCGGAGCGATTTTTCGGAGCGATTTCGGATGGTCTGGTACCGGAAATTTTCGGTAGCGATTTCGACGCACTCCGAATTTCGGTAGCGACCGGATCTTCGTTTGAGGGCGTTGAGATAGCGGATTTCGGAACGTTCTGATACCGGTATTGGGCGCTGCATTTCGGTATTTCGGTAGCGACCGATCTCTGCGGAGCGCTACCGGAAATTTTCGGTAGCGGACCATCAGGGACGGCGTGAGTTCGCTGTGCCAGCTCGCGCAAGACCCGTTTTTGATCGCCGCTCAGGTGATGCGGGAGAAGCTCTCCGCCATCGACTGCTCGCAGCTCAGGCCAATGGACCCGCAGAAGGTGCGCCAGCTGGACGCGCTGCTCGCCGAGGGCATCCCGCAGCTCCTGGCCATGGTGCCCGCGGAGCAGCGGTGGGGCAGAGAGTGAGCCGGCCAGCGGGGAGTAGGGCATCTGGAGTCTGAGGTGGACAGGCACCAGGCCGAGGCTCATTCCGATTCCTCCGATTCGATCCGCTTTCGATGGCCTCCGATTCCGATCCGATGCGACTTCAGATGCCAGTGTGGACTCCGATTCCCCAACGGAGGCCTACTGGCCTACCGATTTCTGCCGATTCGACTTCTCCCGACACTGCTGCCGATTTCCGCCGATCCGAATCATGTCGATCGCCGATCCGACTTGTCGATTCGATCTCGGGCTCCCCTGCCAGTCAGAGGAGCAATACACCATGTTGATGATACGGATGCTCAGGGATTCCTGGAGAGCGCATCCTGGGCAAACCTTGTTACTTCATCCTTACTCAAGAGGCTTACGCCACTCCGCCGACCCACAGAAAGTCGACGCGCGGCTTCCGATTCCGCACGTGTTGTTTTACGTTTCCGCCGTGTTGTCTGCGTGTAGTTGTTGTTGATGCGACCTCAGTTTCCTCCGCGTCCGTTGCAGGGGCTTCTGTGGGGCATCTTGGAGGCCTACGGGGCGGCCCTTTCTGAGTCTTTTCATGGGTCCTTGGAGCTTTAGGGGGGGGGGCCATTAGAGGCATGTTGGGGCTCTTGTGGTTCATCTCGTGGGGGGGAGGGGCTCCCAGGGTCAGTGCGGGTTCCCCTTCTTGGTCCTCTCTGGGGCCTCTCTTGGGGCCCCCCTTGAGGGCCTCTTGGGCCGTCTCGAGGATCTCTCTTGTTCCGTCTCGGTGCCCTCCTCGGCCGTCTCCGGGCCCTCTTGGGGACCTATTGGGCCGTCTTGGGCCAGTCTGGGGAACTTCTCGTGCCATCTTCCAAAATGCGAGAATGCGGAAATCAGCAAAAACAAGTGAATCACACATCCACGCACACGCACATTCACACACACACACACACGCGCGCACACACAAACACACACACACACACACACACACACACACACGCAAACAAACACAAACACACACACACACACACACACACACACACACACACACGCACACGCGCGCACACATATACGCAGATGTATATATATATATACATACATACATACATACAGACACACAGACATACAGACATACAGACATACAGACATACAGACAGATAGACATACAGACAGACAGACAGACAGACAGACAGACAGACAGACAGACAGACAGACAGACAGACAGACAGACAGACAGACAGAAAGACATACACACATTCGACCATGTTTAGCGTGCCGTTTCTTCTTGGGACCATCTTGGGAGTCATTTCACAGCCCTTGTGGGGCAGATCGGGGGCCTCTTGGGCCTTCTTGATGCCATCTTGGTCGTTCTTGAGGCCTCTCCAGCGTGTTGGAGCCCTTCTGCAGACATGGTAGAAAGCCGCCTGGGCATCTCGGAGGCCACGCCGGCGCCTCTGGAGGTTCCGAGAGCCCCCGAAGTGCGCTGGGGAGCCTGTGCCCCCCGAGGAGAGGGAGAGGGAGAGGGGGAGCTTGGGCCCCAGGGGAGAGGGAAAGGGGGAGGGGGAGGGAAAGGGGAGAGGGAAGGGGAGAGGGGGGTGGGGAGGGGGAGGGAAAGGGGAGAGGGAAAGGGAGAGGGGGAGGGGGAGCTTTGGACCCCAGGGGAGCGTGTGCCCCCCCGGGGGGAGCTCGGACCCCCCTCCACCGGGAGCTTGGACCCCCAGGGGAGGAGGAGGAGGAGGAGGAGGAGGAGGAGGAGGAGGAGGAGGAGGAGGAGGAGGAGAGGGACAGAGGGAGGGGGACGGCCGGCACACGTCACACGCCCCACCACTCCGAGGAAAAGCGGGGGCCAGCGGACGGTCTTAGCTAACGACGGGGGGGGGGGCTCGTGGCCGGGCGGGGCGCGTAGCGCCCCCCCCCCCCCCTCCCCCACCACCGTCTGGAGGTAGGAAAGGGGCGTGGCATAAAGGGGTGTGGTGCCAAGGTTGAGTCTGGCGATGCCATCTGTCGTGGATAGCATCTCGATTTCTGCGCCTGTGCCGCTGGGTGCCCTTGTGGCGCCCCAGGAAAACAGGCGGGTTGGCAGCCCGATCGCCACCACAGCTCGACGAGGCTGTGGGGAGAGATTATTGCCCTGTGATTGGCCAGCCACAGTAGGTGCGAGCCCGCCGTACCACCCCTGAGAGGCCCGATGGGGTTACTCGAAGGGGTCCCCCGACGTGGTGGGCGAGGGAACTTAAGTCATTGGGCAGCCAGGTCTCCGCTGCTTGAGGCCGGTGGCTTAGTGGGGGTGGTGCTGGTGGCCGTGTCTCGGGGTGGCATCCCGAGGCACCTCGCAACGGCGGCGCAGATGTGACGCCTGGGGCGGGTTTGTGCCGCCGTTCATGTTGCGAGGTCCGACCGCATGTGAATACACGCAGGCACCTTGGGCACCTCCCTTCGGGTTGTGTCGCCCAGGCGTTCTGTCCGGGCACAAAAGATCTCGATTTCCACGATTGGCACCACACCCCTTTGTGCCATACCCTTTTTTCCGACCTCCAGATCTGTAGGCTTCCCAGATGGGGTCCGGGTAGATCGCACCGCATCGGCGGTGCACTGGCGATGCGGCTCGATGTGGAGCCCGAGTTTCTCCACGCCAGCGTTGCCGATGCATCGCCGATGCATCGCCTGCGTCGCCGACGCATCGCTGATGCATCGCCGATGCATTGGCGATGCGGCACGATCTTCCGATCCCATCTACTCGGATCCCATCTAGGGGGCCTCTGCCCACCCACCCCGCCCCCGCCGCACTCCCGAGCTTCCTCGTTGCGGGCAAGGTTTGCGGTTGCGCGCGGGCCGCCCCTGGCTTGGCATCGCTCGGACGTGTGCATTTTGATTCGGCGAGGGCCATCGAAAAACGTCCTGGATCGTCGGGCCCCCCAAAAAACACGTTCGGTACCAAAAAATACACGGGGAATGGACGTCCGAGTGATGGCAAGCCACAGGTAATCCAGGGTGGTGTCAACACACACACACACACACACACACACACACGCACGCACAAGGCAGCCCAGGCGGCCCCTCGACGGAGCACGCATCCCTGGGGGGTGGGGGGGGCGGCGCCGGAGGCGACCAGAATTTGGGAGCTTGTTGAGGCTAGCCCTGAGTCGGGCGTGACCTTCACCAGCGTGTTGGAGCCCCGTTGGGGACATCGGTAGAGAGCCGCGTGGGCATCCTGCAGGCCACGCAGGTGCACTTGGAGGCCCCGAGGACCCCCGGAGTGCGCTGGGGAGCCCGTGCCCCCACCCCACCCCCCCTCAACCGGGAAGTTGGAGCCCAGAGGAGGGACAACGGGGAGGGTTGAGTCGGGCGTGTCCCTTTACAGGAGGAATAACTATCTGAGAACAGTACAGAAATAGCATGGTGGCGATTTGTCGTGCTCTTTTGACTGCACGTGCCTCTGTGTTGACTACTTATGTCTAGGTGCTCTGCCAAAACCCGCCCGCAGGAGGGCATGCCCGACCTAAGGATAGCCGGGACGAATTACCCTCATGAGGCTGTCCGTGCGCTCTCCAGGGCCTGGCCTTACCCACGGGCGTCAGGGAGACCTCGGGGGTGGGGGCCACACGGCCTTGGGGAGAGAGAGGCCAGCAACGGGAGCAGCACAGCAAGCGTGGTGTACATGCACACTGATGTGGACGTGTACCCCTAGCAGTTTCGACTTCCACCGGACCGAAGAACGGCAACACGGCGAAGAGCCACGTGCCCACACACACTGCATCAACACGCAGGGAGAGAACGATTCGATGAAGGGGAGGCTTGTGGAGTTCCCAATCCAGATAGGCTCATTGGGCACGACCCCCTCGACACCGCTCCTGCAGATTTAACGCCGCGTCCAAAGAGTGCAAAGTGGGGGCGGAAACAACTGTGGTTTTGTCGTTTGACAATTCATCGCTCGCTGTTCGAATTCAACATATCCTTCGCTGCTGCATTGCAACGTATCTCGGTCATAACGTCGTGCTTCATGGTGCACGGCTTCCGAGCCACTGCGATGCAGCCTCTCGCCGTTGCATCGAATTGATTTGTGTTGCACATGCAGGGTGCACGTTGTCCGGGGGGCGCTGTTCTTAGGTCTTGTCGGGGTGGACGGGCCTCCGATGGGAAGCCCACCCCAGAGCCAAGCCGCAACGATCATGTTGCTCGTCGCTTGGGGGGTCCAGGTTTGCTTCAGAACACGAGAGCACATGTTACCGTGAGCCCCACTGAGCCGCAAGCCCCACCGAGGAGGAGGAGTAGGAGGACGAGGAGGAGGCGGAAGAGAAGGAAGAGGAGGAGGAGGAGGACCGGGAGGAGGAGGAGCAGGAGGAGAAGGAGGAGGGGGAGGAGGAGGAGGAGGAGGAGGAGGAGGAGCAGGAGGAGGAGGAGGAGGAGGGGGAGGAGGAGGAGGAGGAGGAGGAGGAGGGGGAGGAGGAGGAGGAGGAGGGGGAGGAGCCACGAAGCTTGGACGCTGCATGCTCCCGCACGCCCCACCAAGCCGCAAGCGCGGGGCTGGAGACCGTCCAGCGCTTGGTTCGCCACGTGGGCGACGCAAAACAGCGGGGTCGTCTGCGCCGACGTTGGCGCGCAAGCTGCCCGCGCCAGGTCGCGCGTAGGCGCCCTCGTCTCCGCTGTGGCGTGCCGCGCCGGCGGCCCGCCTAAGGCATCGCGCCAGGTCGCTATGCCGTCTCGCGTAAGACCCGTTTCTGAGTGTCGCTCACGTGTTGTTGCTGCGTGTCGCGGCGGCCGTTGCTCTAAGAGGCCCAGTGGCCCGTCCTGACGTGGTCGCCCAGTGGCCTGCGCGAGCACCTCGTACCTCGCCTCCCACATAGTTAGAGGACGGTTCCTGAACTCGGTCACGCAGCTGCTCCA